AAGCGTTCTGATGACGTCGGGGTCAGTGGGCGGAGCCTCCCTCCGGTTTTACTACCGGTTCTATAGAACCAGTCCGAACTGGGGGCAACCCACCACTGTTACAAATATATTTTGGAAGTACTCCTTTGGGAAAGCTCAAAGTCACAAAATTTGGAGAAAGTTGATCTGAAGTATAATCAATGTTAGTTTGTGCTGGAATTCACAAATATGTCTTATCTATTAGGAATTTTTAAATGAATGCACAATAGTTGGTCACATGGACACACTAAAAATTACAGTTTAAAGAACATCCCTACAGTTAGGCCAGTGTTTGGGAATTCCAATCCTTTTTATAAGCAGATGGCCTGAAAGCTGTACTACCAGCTGGAGATTTGTAAATGCAAGAGTTGGCTATATTCCTGGAGAAGCAAACATAATTGCTGAGGAGGCTTTGTTGTGGTTTGACTTTGAGCTACCTGATTATGCTCAGAATGACATAAGCCATTGGCTTTCTATTAGCTCTCCAGGGCAAATAAGAATCCTTTAAGTTAATACCTAGAGAGCCAATTTGCTCTAGTGGTTAATGTACCAGGCTAGAAACCAGGAGACTGTGAGTTCTAGTCCGACTTTGGTTGACCTTGGGCCAGTCACTCACTCTCAGCCCAATTCACTTCACAGGATTGTTGTGAGGAAAGTAAGAGGAAGGAATATTAGGTATGTTTGCCACCTTTAGTTATTTATAAAAATCGTAAAGGTGGGATAAAAATATTTTAAAAATAAAATATATAAAAATAGAAAAAAGATCAGAAAAATAATAATGAAAGTATACCTAGAATTGTTGGGAAGTTCCAATTCACATAAGGCAGCACAGCATTGAAATATAGTACAGGAAAGTGGATCTGTTTTCTGGTTCTCTTTTTCTTTTAAATAGCAACCACATACTCTTAATTAGCTAGTATAGTTAATTGGTGGGGAAGGTATTGAACTAGGAGCAGAGAGATCCCAGTTCTACTCCAGAAACTCCCTGGGTGATCTTGGGCCGGTTCTTCTTGCACAACCCAGTATTTCACCCAGCGTTGTTGCTTCTCCTGGCATTGAACTAGGGAGCACCTGGTGAGTTTTATGATGGTTGGATTCACCAGATTCTGTTTTATATGAACCTTACTTATCTGGCTTTTTTTGGCTTTTTTTGGATTGTTGTTTTTTAATATTTTTTGTTATATTGTAAACCGCCAAGAGTTGTTTGGAGTTGTATGGTGCCTAAATTCAATACATTTAATTAATTAGAAGGAGAAAGACGTGTATACTATCTTATTTATCTTGTTTATTTTATGAAATTTGAGGGGTCCTTGGTAATGAAATGTTTGCATGAAAACAACCAAACTCAGAGAGCACTAAGGAGCCCTCATTTCAACCCTGAGCTATAAATATTATCATTTATTTATGAAATTTAACTGACTTGCCTGAAACCAATCAGATGCTATGATCTACATTAAAGATAGGGTAAACAAATGAGAATGAAAAAAATTAAAGGTGCTAAGATGCTAAAAGCATTATAAAAATGGTTTTAAAAAATGCCACTTTATATACAGTTGCTCCCCAAAGGCCCTTTTCTCCTGCTTCCAAGAGGCTGTAAGACTGGGGACTAACTGCTGTTCAGGGGCCAAGCTATTCTACAGAGGAGGGATGTGTAACAGAGAACACCCTTCTTTTGGCCGCCTCAGACCTTTTTGCCTTTGAGGACAACTAAGTCCTCCCTAGTGGTTGAGCTAAATTTGGAGAAAGGTAGTTGCAAAAATACTCAGATCCCAAGTAATATAGATAGTGATCAACACTTTGAATTGCATTCTGAAACCTACTGAGAACCAGTGCAGTCAGGAAGTAGGTAATAGAGAAGTAATATGATAGTACAGTATAGATACTGTATAGATACTGTATAAATAGATACAGTCTAGCATAGACTGGGTGAAACCAGGCTTAATAGCAGTAACTGTGAGAGGGATCTTGGAGTCTTAGTGGACAACCAGCTAAATAGGAGTCAGCAGTGTGCAGCAGCAAAAAAGCCAATGCAATCCTAAATTGCATTAACAGAGGGATACAATCAAGATGAAGTGAGGTAACTAATATCACTCTATAAAGCCTTAGTAAGACCACACCTAGAATACTGCATCCAGTTTTGGTCACCACACTATAAAAAAGATGTTGAAACTGTAGAAAAAGTGCAGAGAAGAGCAACCAGGATGATTAAGGGACTGGAGACTAAAACATATGAAGAAACTGGGCATGGCTAGTCTAGTGAAGAGAAGGACCAGAGGAGACATGATAGCAGTCTTCCTATAATTGAGGGGCTGCCACAGAGAGGAAGGAGTCAAGCTATTTTCCAAAGCACCTGTAGGCCAGACAAGGAATAATGGACGGATACTGAACAAGGAGAGATTTAACCTGGAAATAAGGAGAAATTTTCTGACAGTGAGAACAATCAACCAATGGAATAGAAATTGCCTTTGGAAGTTGTGGGAGCTTCATCACTGGAAGCTTTCAAGAAGAGACTGGACTGCCATCTGTCAGAAATGGTATAAGGTCTCCTGCTTGGAAAGGGGGTTGGACTAGATGACCTTCAAGGTCCCTTCTAACAACTCTGTTAATCTGTAATCTGTAATCAGTACAGTGACTGACCACTAAACATTAAGTCACTTCCTTTGCTATGAGTTTGAGTAGCGACAAACAGTGCTTTTAGAAGGACCCTGTATGGAGACAGAAGAGCTAGACTAGTACTGTAATATACTGATAGATTTCGAATGAACCATTCATGTGATAGTATACAAAATTTCTCTTTATATCTTATTAAGACTGTGTCTTTTTAAAGTCATTGGATTACTGAAGAAATACCTGTTTTCTTTCTATAAAGGCGATTGTATATGAAATATGTAATCTTAAGAGCAGCAGCATACATGACATCAAATTTATCAAGTGTCATATTTAAGATATTGGTGACAATATAATTTATTTTTAAAAATTAAAAGTAATTACCTTTATGATGACTTCTGGCAAGAATCTAGTTTTCACTGAAGCTGACCCCAGCAGAAGACTTCTCTGCCCACTAGTTCATTTTATTTTCATTCAGTATATTCTCTCTCATTCTTGTCCAAATACTTGAATATTGGAAAATAAATGTGTCTATGTGATACCTGAAAATAATTCAGTATTTAAGGAGAAAACATGAAACTTTTTTCTTAAAAGGAAGAGAAAAAATAAATGCATAAAAGTTGGAGGAGTGGGGAATGAAAAGTCTACCAGTATTTTTAACAGCCACAGTTATTTGCAAAAGTCTGATTTAAAAAAAAAAATCCTGGAAGGCACTGAATCAAACTGGTGATCCTTCTGGTTCAGTTTACTGATTGGTAAAGATAACGATAGCCTGAAGGTCTGAATATGGGACCCTTTGCATAGAAAACAGTGAATTGCATCCATTCATCGTTGTTTCATTTACACTAGTTTTAGCCACCGACTGTTGATTATAGAATTCTCTTGATTCACCATTTAGGTAGATGCTGGTATAAGTACCTGACACTCTAAATATGTTATATTGCAAAGTCCTGGGTTCAGCCTTAATAAAGGTATCAGTGCACTAAGGAGCCTTAAAAAGGATACTTCTCTTCATCTGTTCAGCACTAAGCTCTTCCCAGTGGCAATACATTACTAACCTTCTCTCCTTCCCACATTCCAAGTGGCTCCGCTTGACCATATACCAGAAACTGTCCAATGGGCATAATTACATGGGAGAGAGGTAGCAGGCAAACACAATAGCAGGTCCTGCTTCAGTTCAGTTTTTCTTTCTTTTTCTCTGAGCCATCTGCCAATAACCCTATTGGCTCGTGATGTGATATCATATTTCAGTCTTGTCTTGTCTTACTAGCTTCCTTTTGCTGAATTAAGATTAGATTGGAAAGATTTGCCTCCTTAAAAAGTGGAGCACATTATTTTATTCATATTTGATCTCTCTGCCAAAAAAAAATGGCACTTAAGTTCAACTATAAAAAATTGAACCATAAACGTAATTAATAACACAATTCAATACATTCAGAACCACTAACATCTTCTCAAAAAGCAACCAGAAACCATTTACACACAAAAAATCAACCTAAATCAATTTATTTTTGCCCATGAGAGGAAGATAGTAGAAAGGGAGCAGCCTTGTCAGGAGTCTCCAACTTCGGCAGCAGTCAGAAAAGGGAAAATCCTCTACACAAGTGCCTGAAAGAAGGAATAACATGATCTTTCAGATCATTTTGTCCAAATTTATGTACAGCTTTAGAAGGTAAAACCTCCATTTTGAATTGTAATCAGAAACAGACTACAATCTAGCAAAATATCAGCATACTGTATATTCAAGGTCTTACACAAATTGGCCTGGAAGTAATTTCACCAGAATTTCATCAGAATACAACATGCAGAGAAACCTACATAATATAAATAGACTGGGGACAGCTATCATGCTGAATATGCTTCTTCCTTAGAAGAAGAAATTCATCAGTTCCCAGTATAGCTGTGACACATCTGGAGATCTAATCAAATGTATCTAGGGTGAATAATTCAAGAAGAGTCAAAGTGCAAATGATACAGTAGGTTACAATTGTTCAGTTTCTGGTCATAAAATCCACTATTTAGAACAAATAAATGTTATGTACCTCTAACTTTAGATGAGGGTCATTTCATTTAGTTTTATTTCAAGATTCTGGATTAAAACTGTATCTAGAAATGTATGTGTATGAGATTGAGAGAATACAAAAAAATCCCAACCAAATTCAAGTTTTTTTTAAAAAAAATCCTTAGCATTATGTTTTGACAGGTCAGATATTAAAACTTCCTTTTTTGAAACGAAAGAACCTGTCAGAACTTCTAACATCAATGGATTATTCTCCATAGTGTAGAAATGGGAGGTGCCAGGCTGGGTATTCCTTGCTCTAGCTCTATGTCCTGAGCTGAAAAGTTCTGAAGATCTGCCTCCCTGGTGACGTCTCTTCAGTTTTTTTCAGCTCAGCACAGCTCATGGTTGCAAGTTTTAGCTCCTGAGCTTTGAGCCAGAAAAAAAGTATTTTTTTCCCTGGATTTTCTTGGATTTTCTTTCTTTCTTTCTTTTCTTTACTTTGTATTGGAAGTTGCTGCTGCTTTCTACTCAGCCTTTGTTTCTGGATTTCCAGGTACTGGTCAAAGGGGAGCTCTCTGGTCTTTGGATTGAGCGTGGGGGGGGCTGTTGTTCTCCCCCCACCCTCCCCTATCCTGTGGGCGGTGGTGAGGGGCTAGCCGGCTGGCCTTCGCCCCGGTCCCTCCAGATTCTCTTCGGAAGCTTCTCGGGCTTCTCAAAGAGCCGCGGGAGCCGCACGTGCCATTTTGGCTTGCCACGGCGTCCCTTTGATCACCGCTCGTCAGCTGGGAAGCGGAGCAGCGTTTTTTTGCACTTTTCGTTGCCTTGAGACTTGCTGCAGCCCCACCAGCCTGGATTTGGCTGGTGGATTCAAATGGCGGTGACTGAGGAGTGTGTGCCTGGCGCTAGGGCCACGCTACACCCTTGATTGTAATGGCGGCCTGTAAGTCGCGGCGGCCTTCGTCCCCGCGCATTTTGGGCGCAAATTGGTTCAGGCGGCTTTGATCCCCTGGCAGCCTTTGGGCACAGCGCTGGTGTATTTCTACTTGAGAAGCAGAGGAGAGCATGGATTTCTGACCAGAGTATTTTTTATCTGTGGGTTTGCTTGCCGGCCTGACCTGATACTGCTTCTAATCATCAGAGAGGGCCTTTATTTAAACTGTGGCAGTTGAACAGCGGCCATTTTGAGACCCGGGAGACATTTTGTATTTCATTCAAGGCCTGTATAATTTTATTTATTTATTTGTTTTTTCTCTCTTTTATTATCTATTTGCAGAGTCTTTGGATTTTGGTTTCCCTGTGATTTCCAACTGACTTAATATCATGGGGGATGCTGACAGGCAACCATCATTCTCTGCTGAGGGCTCCTGGTCTCCTCCACCTGACAGTGGCAGGGCTTCTAGGCCACAAACTGCCAGCATTGCTGCAGCTAATAAAATTAAGGCCAAGGCTAGAGCTCGCCCCGGGCGTTCCAAGGCTAAGGAAAAGACAGCTCAGGTTAGACAACGTGCCTTGGACAGAGAATTTGCAAGGGCTGCTGCCATTAATACGGCTGCTGACACCCCTCAAGCCACTGTGCCTACGCTTCAGCCATCAGTTCAGACTGTGGAAGATTCTGTTCCTCAGACTGTCCATTCTCCCACCTTGGCTGGGCCATCCAGGGCATGGTCTCCAGAGATTCAGGCCAAGCCCCAGCAGTGTCCAGGGCCTTCTGGGACCAACAAACGCCCTGAAGCCACCTATACCCCCACGGCGGCTGGCCTTCGCCAGGATGAAGGGGGAGGAGCTGGATGTTCAGAATTCCATGAAGTCCTGGGTGGAGCAGGCAATTAGGCAGGGCATTGCAGAAGGGATGCAGCTTCAGTCACAGATGTTTGCCCAAATGTATGCCCTTAGACCTGAGGTGGAGTCCCAGGGCCTTATTGCCCCTTCTGAGGATTACCATGGGCAGGTCTCCCCTTCCCCTTCTGAACTAGTTGACTATGCAGAAGACTATCTGGAGGAGGGAGAGATTTCGGATGGGGATCAGATCCAACCACCCAGGCCCACTTTCAAGGGCTTATTTAATCCTGCCCTTTTGAAGCCACTTCTGACAAAGGCCAAGGCCACTGCTCGATTGGGTCCTGACCCAGCACTCTCCAGTACCTCGGGTACTGGAGAGCAGGATGATTATCTTTTCACAGAGCAGGCAGTGGAGGCAGATACTATTCCTATTCCAGGATTGTTTCTGGACATGATCCGTAGACAGCGGGCGGCCCCAGCTCTACCCTCCAGGGCCTCAGGGCTGGACAATCAGTTGTTTACGGTGGATGCGGACATGCTTGCCTTGTTGGAGGTTCCAAAGGTGGACGCTCCGGTGGCGGCTCTCACCTCTTCTTCTGTTTTACCACCTGATGCAGAGGACGCCTTAAAGGCAGAAGATAGGCGAGAGGAGACGGCACTTCGTCGCGCGCACCAGGCGGATGCCTGGGCTGTTAGAGCTTCTTCGGCAGCATTCTCTCTGTCTTGGCGGCGTATCTCAGGTCTTTTCCCATCAGAATTCAATGTTACCTCGACGATCTGCTCATTCAAGGGTCCTCCCAGCGGCGAGCGGAACAGGACTTGGCCACGACAATACAGGTATTGAGGGACCATGGTTTCTCGGTGAATCTGGCGAAGTGTCATCTCATACCTTCTACAAGGTTAGTTCACCTAGGGGCCCTGATAGACACGCTAGCGGGGCAGGTCTTCTTGTCCCCGGACAGACAGGACAGTATCAGGGCGCTGATTCAGTCTCTTCAGGGGTCCCGGACAGTTCAGGTAGCCCAGCTATCCCAATTGTTGGGAAAAATGATATCTTGTATGAACATAGTTCCCTGGGCCAGGTTCCATGCGAGACCACTACAGTGGTTCTTGCTCCCCTTTCAGAAGGCAGGAACGAGCTTGTCCAAGGTCAGAGTTCAGGTCCCCCCACGGGTCCTACAATCCCTGACCTGGTGGACGTCAGGGGCCATTCAGAAGAGGTGCTTCTTCAGGGAACCCCACAGGGTGATAGTAACGTCGGATGCCAGTCTGACAGGCTGGGGGGGCCATTGCGGGTCTCAGGTGGCCCAGGGCCGCTGGTCCCACCAATAACTATCCCATCAGATCAATTGGTTGGAGCTCCGGGCGGCCCGTCTGTCTCTTCCGCAGGTGAGGGGGCAGCATGTGCTCCTTCTCACAGACAATACGACGACAAAAGCCCATATCAACAGGCAAGGGGGGACTCGTTCCGGGCCTCTGATGTGAGAGGCGGAGACCCTTTGTCTTTGGGCAGAGACTCACCTTTTGTCCCTGACAGCGGACTACATCGAAGGGACAGACAACATAGAAGCCGACTGGCTGAGCTGAGCCATTGTGGATCCCTCCGAGTGGAGGCTCCATCCCAACTTATTTGCGGAGGTAGTCGACTGGTTCAGTTGCCCGGTAGTGGACCTCTTCGCCTCCCCAGCGAACACACAACTTCCCCTTTTCTTCTCCCGGTTTCCTGCCCCGGGAGCAGCGGGGGTGAACGCTCTGCGGACCCCGTGGCCCAAGGGCCTCCTATACGCTTTCCCACCCCTACCCCTTATCCCAGCCGTCATTCGGAAGTTGATGCTGGAGGGGGCGGAACTGGTGTTAGTGGCTCCTCATTGGCCCAGACGGCCTTGGTTCGCCGACATGGTCGACATGTTGGTCGCCAAACCCTGGCGGATTCCCCCGGACAGAGTCACGCTCAGCCAGGGCCCAGTTCAGCATCCGGACCCGCAGAGACTGCAGTTAGCCGCTTGGAGGTTGGGCGGGGCCTCTTGAGGCGGGAGAACTTTCTGACCAGGGTCATCAGGACTATGCAGGCGGCCAGGCGGCCCTCGACTACCCGAATTTATGAGGCAACGTGGAACAGGTTTGCTGGGTGGTGTGCCTCCAGACAGTTGAGCCCGACTTCAGCATCGCTGGTGGAGGTGCTGGAGTTCCTACAGGACGGGTTGGACATGGGACTTTCCACTAACACTCTACAGCGACAGGTGGCTGCGCTAGGCACTGTCTTGACATTTAGGAAGTGGGGCTCCCTCGCTAACCATCCGAGGGTGAAGATTTTCCTGCGTGGGGCGGCTAATTTAAAACTGCCGCCTCTTCACCGTTATCCTACTTGGGACCTTGCCAAGGTTCTTCAGGCTTTAACAAAGGCACCCTTCGAACCTTTGAGGGAGACTAGTCTCCGTCTTCTATCGTGTAAGGTAGCTTTCCTTGTGGCCGTCACGTCGACCTGACGGATCTCAGAGTTGGCGGCTTTATCGGTGCGGAAAGACCTGTGCATTTTTCACCCCAACAGGGTGGTTCTGCGGCTGGACCCTGCCTTTCTTCCTAAGGTCAACTCCTTGTTCCACCGAGCACAGGAGTTGGTCCTGCCAGACTTCTGCCCTCGGCCTAGGCACGCCTTGGAGCAGACCTGGCATACTTTGGATGTGAGGAGGGCCCTCCGTATTTACATTTTTAGAACCTCTTCTTTCCAAAAGACGGAGGCACTCTTTGTCTCTTTTCAGCCGTCGACTCTTGGCCACAGGGTGACCTCTTCCATGGTGGGACGCTGGCTTAGGACGTGCATCTCATCTGCATATGAGCTTCAGGCTCTCCCGGTGCCTCAGGGGATAACAGCCCACTCCACCCGCAGTGCTGCCACGACTGCGGCCTGGTCTACGCAGGCATCAGTGGAAGACATTTGTAGGGCGGCCACGTGGACTTCTCCCACTCCCTTCATCCGTCACTATAGACTTGACTCCTTCGCTTCGGCGGAAGCAGCCTTTGGGAGAAGAGTACTGCAGCGGGTTCATGAAGATCCGGGGTCGTCGGCCCAGGACAGCTCCCACCCTTAGGGCTGGCCAGTCTTTGGTATATCCCAGCCTGGCACCTCCCATTTCTACACTATGGAGAAGGGACGTTGGTCTTACGTGATACGTTCCTTCTCGTAGTGTAAAATGGGAGGTGCCAGCCCCACCCTGCCTGTGGCTGCCTGGACCGGCTCTCCTGGTGGAGCATGTTGTTTCTATCTTTCAGACTGCGTACCATTTGCCTGGACTGCGTACCATTCGCTTTGGCTTCGCTGGCAAAACTGAAGAGACGTCACCAGGGAGGTGGATCTTCAGAACTTTTCAGCTCAGGACATAGAGCTAGAGCAAGGAATACCCAGCCTGGCACCTCCCATTTTACACTACGAGAAGGAACGTATCACGGTAAGACCAACGTCCCTTTTAATAAGAACATATGACTTACTTGTTAGCTTCTGAAGCATAAATGGCCTTCTACAAGTTTGTAACTGATTTCTCGTGTTTATTTCATGAATCTGTTGCCCTTTCTCCCCACCCTTATGATTTGAGTTTAAAACTGGCAATTATAGGGGAGGAAAAAGAAAGGAAGAATATATTGAGAATAGTTAAGCATTTAAATGTGGGAAGATTTGTCAGGAAGCCAATAAGGACACCTGGGAGCTGTGTTTAGTGAAGATGCCTAGAATAGATGCCATATGAGTGTTAATCCTATATAAATTAGAACAACTTTGCATGCCATCTACTTCCCATCTGGCTCAGGGCAGTGCCAGCATGAGCACAAAGGTATAAGCCAATATTAAGCCCCAGCTTTTTCATTTACTTCAGTTGCACTTTCTGTTATGAAAGGTAGTTTAAGAGGTCTCTATTCAGCAGTTGCAATAATATCTTCTGGGTCTACAAACATGTTTAGGGAAATGCCCCTTCAAGAACAGTAGCTCATAGCTATTCTCCATGCTTATGCAGAGATAAATTATTTCTTCCATCATGATGCAGCTGCAATGACATCCTGTCGGAATAGGTTAGCATCACTTTGGAAATTCTAGGACATCCGCTTCTGCTTTCAGATGAATCCTTCCCTCCAGGCACAAGAGTACATTGAGAATGATATATCTGAAGAGTCCTGCCTGGCTACCCTGATTTCTCCATTGTTAAAATGCCAGGCTGTAATTAGAAGCAATGCGACTTGCCTTTGTAAGATTTCACCATCAAGACAACATCAGAATGGTGAAACTCTGCTGTTTAAGCTGACGAGAATAAATTATTCTTTCCTGTCAGCTATTAGATCTATTCCATTCCTTGTAGAAGCAGATTTCCAACGGTGAATAAAAATGGGAATTTCATGCCCCAAAGAAAGGGATGCCTTTGTTCTCAAAAGTCTGCTCCAGATTTGTAAATGTAATCTGGCTCCCAATCAACATTCAAACACACTGGCATCGCTTCAATATAAACTATATTGGATACCGAGTATTTTTCAAAATTGAGAATATTGAGGGCATTGTCAGAGGAGATATAATGTTATGTTAAATTAATAGAAGTCTCAGTAGCAAAATTGTTAATAGCGAATGACAGACCTCGGCAAAACTGCAGGAGGGAAGAATTGGGTTGTTGCCAATCTGGTCACCAAAAGATCAGTTACCTCATTCTCAGTATCAACTTTAATCACCCCATTTGACATTGGTTTGAGATAGCTAAAATTATTAGCTTGCTTGGAGCACAAAAAAAGAAATACCTTGATGTTTTCCTAACTCTTTCTAGGGATTTCTCCATATATATAAATTCCTTAAATAGGCCATATATTACCCACTGTCTTTCTATCAGCATTTGCACATCTTAAAATTCATCCATTTATTTACCAAATAAATTTTTTGGCTTTTTTTTTTGGGATTGTTGTTTTTTAATATTTTTTGTTATATTGTAAACCGTCAAGAGTTGTTTGGAGTTGTATGGTGCCTAAATTCAATACATTTAATTAATTAGAAGGAGAAAGATGTGTATACTATCTTATTTATCTTATTTATTTTATGAAATTTGAGGGGTCCTTGGTAATGAAATGTTTGCATGAAAACAACCAAACAACCAAACTCAGAGAGCACTAAGGAGCCCTCAGAGTGATCTCCGACCTCCGGACCTTTCGTCGGGCCCTAAAAACTCATCTCTTTCAGTTAGCCTGTCTCTCTTGATTTTATGATTTTACGGTTGGTTTTAAATTTTGATATGGATTTTAAATTGATAAATTTTAAACTATGGGCCAAATTTAATTATTTTAAATCTATTTTTAATCATATTTATGTATAAATGTTTTTATTTTGGCTGTTCACCGCCCTGAGTCCGAAAGGAGAAGGGCGGTATAGAAATTCGAATAATAAATAAATAAATAAATAAATAAATAAATAAATAATAAATTTCAACCCTGAGCTATAAATATTTTCATTTATTTATGAAATTTATTTGCCCATTTTTAGTAAACATTCAACCAACGTAGACCATTTTTTTCAGTTTGTACATAACTTGCAATTGTTCACTCAGTTTTTCTGTCAGACACAATTATCTCAATCTTTGATACATTAATTTTCAGAATCATGCTTCTCTTTACATCAGTTATAATACTATTGAAAACAATACTAACAACATGGCATCTGCACTGGTATACAATCTTATTTGCAACTATCATATCTTTATCACCACTAGAAGCATTCCTTATACATGCATGCATAAGTGTGTTAAACAACTAAGGGGACTTCATATATCTTGTCTAATATCCTGCTCAATTTTGAGCCATTTGCAAATTACTTTATTTATTCTCATGATTGCTTTGTTTCCATCATTAGCTATAATTATATTCAATAACAAACCTCAGCTCCACAGTTCCATAATTTAATCCCAATTAGTTTCTCATATGTTTTACCTTCTCATAATCTTCCATCAGTAGAAATGGAGTGAACTTTCACAAATGTATACACCGTGATGACTTGTTGAAAGACAAAATTCTGGACTATGCATCTCTGCCTGGTATAACACTATAGTGTACTTCCCAATTTTTGCTCTTTCTTATTTCAAACTCTTTCAGTTAGAATTTTACAAATCAGTTTCCCAAGTATACTTATCAAATGAAATCCCTTCCCCTGTAGTTTTTTGCATTTATTCTTGCTACATTTCTCTTTGTATAAGAGAATAATATCAACATTCTTCCAGTCATTAAGCAAAAACATAGAATACTCATGTACATTAAACAGGTAGATCAGCTTTATCCATAATCAATTCACATTCATATTTTATCATTTCTCCAGTTACACTATCCAAACCAGAACCATTACCATTATGAACATTCTTAGAGCATTGTGATTTTTTTTTCATCCTAATGGAAGCCAAGCAATTCTTGGTACTACACATTATGAATTATAGCTGGGTAGATTAAAAAAGTACCAAATATTGTTATTCATTCATTTAGATCCCCATTATATAGCCATAAAATTTACGCCAGGCACTATGAAATTCAGTAGCAAGATAAGCCAAATTCAAAAGGGGACAAATACTTCTTCACAGATTGGAAGATGAAGGATTTATTATAATGGCTGGTTGCACAGTCAGCCAGATGCATTTTGCATTTTTTTATCCATCAACAAGTGCTTCCCAAGCACCTAGGATGGGCCAGTGTTGTTGTTTGATGGTGTTAAATGTATTGTCTCATGATGTAAACTGTTCCAAGTAAAGCTGTTTTTTATAATGGATCGTAATTTTTGTTTTGGAATTAGTACTATCTTTGCTTTCTTTTGCCACAGTCATTCTACATCCAATTGCAAGTCTTTATATTTTGTGATTGTTTTCCAGTTCTTTCTTTTATCTCATACTGTCCCTAGGTACTGCCACACCTAGTATCCAGACTTTTTTTGTCTTTCTTATCGACAATTGTTAAGTCTGGGTATTGTGTAGCAGGTCTGTTTGAATTCTAAAGTCCCAGAACACTTTAGCATCTTCATTTTCTAGCACTTTGTGCACGTGATGGTCCTACATTTCTTGCTTGCAAGCATATGATATTTCTTGCAGCTATTCCAATACACTAGTGATAGTTTGTCATGCTGTTGTTTAAAATCTATAGGTGCAATCTTGCAGCAGCTAACTAGGTGGTCCACCGTTCCTTCAGCTTCTTTGCAGAGGTGGCATTTGCTGTCTGTTGCTGTCTTCCCAATTCTGACTTTATTTGCATTTGTTCTTGAGGCTTAGTCTTGTGCAGCTAGAACTAGACCCTCTGCCTCTGTCTTATTATTAAAGTTGTTAGAAGTGTATTCCACCTTTCCTCCAGGAATTCGAGGACTATGTTATATGGTCTGTTGAATTTCACTTAAGGCTCCTTGGTCTGTGTTAGCATTGGCTTTCAGTCTATGATGACGTACAAAAGTATTTGGCAGTCAGTATTCCTCTATATTGTATGGCATAACCAATGTTCAAGGAAGAGGATAGCTAACATTTGGCCGGGCTGCAGGTTGCTGTGCCTGAGTTATAACCATGCTAGCTTCTCATACTGCAATTAAGGGCCAAATTTATCTGTTTCTTGCATTTCAGTACAGCTGTTAAGTTTTTGAATTTGTAGCATGTTCCTTATTGATACAGAGATCAAAATGGGCCAACTGGAAACTTGTTCCTACAGGCTGAGCAAATAATTTTGAAGTAATCCATAGGGAATACTGAGATGTTTTCCTGACTAAGAAGGAAATTCTCAATGGACCCTGCTAAACTAAATATAAGAAAAGCATTTTAGAATAAGCTGTCTTAAATTTCAGCATGCTGCTACTGTATATTAATACAGTTTTGATCCATAGCTAATGTTGAAAAAGGTCAAAAATTTAGAAAAAATAGCTATGTATGCATTTTATAATTGGATTCATTTTTAAAATTCCTTTAGTGAAGCTCAGGTTGAGAATACTAAACATACATAAAAATACCAATAAATATTTAGGTAAATCCATATCTTAAGGATTTGCCAAATTCTCTGAAAGCTATGTTGAGAAGGTATCTTCTTTTAGAGCACAATTAAGTTTGGTCTACAGCTGCATGAAAATTGTATGAAAAGATGTACACTTTTCATTAAAAAATGAGCACC